AAAAAAAAAAAAAAAAATCATGAATCTTTAATATCCGATAATCGCACGACACGATATTAATAAAAAGCTTATTAAATTATTAGTGATTGATTTATTAAATATGCGTGATCTTTTATTCCTATCGATATAAATATCACAATCTTCATTATATTTTAATATTAGAAAAATGAAAAGAAATATTATTATTATTACACTTGTTATTATCTATTGTTATTATTATATTATTACTCTTATTATTATTATCAAGTGAAAAAAAGTTTTAATTTAACACAATATAATATCATCGCCACCATGTAATGTAGTAAAACTATTTCGAGCCACGTGATACACACAACATTCCTATCTCCGTCACGTTACATCTCGTCTCTCGTGGGAAGTCTTTCAAAACATGCTACCGAACGCGGCAAATAACCTTAACTGTGTTGTATGTTTACCTCTTCTTCACATATAGTAATGTTTTTTTCTTTTCGTATATTTAAAACTTAAAGTTGAACACTGTCTCATTTTATCTCAAATAAACTTAAAGCAAAACATTGAACGCACTCTGTATGGATAACTAAACTGGTATAAAACTGTAGAACTTTTTCGCACTGATCACTACAAATTAGAAGAACTGGAAGAGGAACTTCTGGAAAAACTGCAAGGAAGATCTTGATCGTATGGAAACTTGGTGAACACTAAGTGACGATCGCTTGATGTTCGCCCTTTTATACTATTCTTAATCTGTGGACAGGTACATTTAATTTTAAGGGGAGGTTGAACGATCCCTTAAAACTTCCAATCTTTTTCGTCCTATCCCTACCCCATCGCATAGGACCTCTTTTCTCATTGGTTGCAATTTAAATTGTCAATGTCATACAATGTCATACAATGTCCTTAAAATATGCCATAAATATAAAATGTCATAAATATAAAATAACTGTTATAAATAACTGTTTAAAAATTTATGTTTTCCTTTCTATTTATTTATAATTAATAAATAAGATAATTAATAATAAGTTGTAATTAACACTGAATTTTTTTAATGAAAAAAATTGTAAATATTTATAATAAGAAATATAAATATTTGTAATAAGAATATTTTATTTTATATAATAAAATATTTATTATTTTATTTGTAATATTTATTCACATTTATTATAATTTTAAATTATAATAATTTTAAATTACAATTCTCTTTAAAATATAAAAAATAAACATTAAATAAATAAAAATATCTTGAATCTAATAAATTTGAAGGAATAATATTTATTTTTTTTACTATAAAAATAATTCTATTATAACTTAAGACTGTAAAACAATAAAAATATATTATATATTAAATATTTTCTATCTTTAATAATTATTTATTATATAAAATAATTATAAAACAATTCACAATTTTATTCATTATTTATTGTATACTGATTTTTTGTTTTCATTTTACAATGATACAATTCTAACATAAAAAAAAGAAGTATTTTTAACAATAAGTATTTAATAATAAATTATTTTATGGAATAAAATGATGAAAGAACTGTTAAACTGTTTTTTTTATTAATTTTCGAATCTTCGTTAAATTCAACAATTATAATATGTATATATGTTGAAAAAAAGTATAACAAGATGTTGTAAAATTAATACTTAATATTTAAAAATTATAAAAATAAGAGAAAGAAGAAGAGAAAAAAAAGGGAGAAAAAAAATTATTTTTATAGGAATCTTACAAAACCACGTGTAGAAGAAAATATTCATTTGAATTATTCAGTATTTGCTTATTTTTCGCAATCATTATGCAAATGAAAATCAAATAATTTTCAAATCTGTTTAGCAAGAAGCATACATGTATTAACAGAAGATTCCATAATAATGAGTCCTTGCATTTTTACTATGCTTTTTTATATGTATATTACATATAAAATTTACAATTTTTACAATAAAATAAATTTCCTTAACTATCATCAACAATTTATGAATTTTTTTTGTTTGATCACCATCATCGAAATTATTCAAAGAAATATAAAACAAAAAAAATATAAGGTTTTATTTATTCTTATTATCCTTTTCAAGAAAAGTATATTGCAATATTAAATAAAAAAAAAAATATATATATACAATAATTAAATGAATATATACATATTTGATCAGAAAAATTAATATTAATTAATATAAATATATAAATAATATAAATAATATTAATATAAATATATTAATATTAATATAAATTAATATAAATAAAAAATTATTCAATAATATTAATCTAGAAAGAAAATATATATTAAACAGCTTTTTATATAGAAAATATTTATATTATTTCAAAAATATAAGTTAACTTATAATCATTATTCAGTGATTTATTTATGTCCAGTTATTTTGGGATACCTTTCACTAGTCATTAAACAATGCGGAAAAGCAATTAGTAGAATTGTAAATCAAAGGTTTAAACTACCTGTTTGTCAGTTTAGTTACCTGTTAAAGTAACCTAAACTAAAATATGACAAATAAAGTAATAAACTAGATAATAGTAAACAATAGTAATATTGGTTACAGTTATGTGGTTATAGGAATGTGGTTAGAAGTGACATGGCTGGTTGGCATTTTATGCTCTTGAACAATAACACCAAAATTATTATTATTATACGGAAAAGTGTCCTAAAAGAAATATTCATATTATGCTGCTATATATATTGAGTTTAGTAAATATTTTTGTTTATATTATTGTTTATAACATTTGTTTATACAATATTTAGTTAGCTAGTAGAAAATAATTGCATAAAAATTTAAAAAAAAAAAAGTGAATTGAATTAATTTCATACACTGGATTAATTCCTTGAATTTTTATACGATTGCCATTTGAACTAATATTATATAAACAAATATTATTCATAACACTGTTGTTTATTCAACAAATTACGATTTGATCAAGTTTGAAAGTAAACAAATCACGATATGTGAATAATATCAGTTTTATTGAAATAATGACATAATTAAAAATTTGCAAAATTTGCATTATTGATATGAAAAAAAAAACAAGAATAATAATAATAATAATATTATTATTATTATTAATTTTAACTATTATTATAACTTCTAATAAATTTAAAATGTATGATATATTAATGAACAAAAATATTCTTTAAAATATATAATTTTTTTAGAATTAGATCAAATGATTTGAAATTTTTTTTAAGATATTAAAAGAAATATATAAAAGAATAGTTTACTAAATAATGTATAAAAAAAATTGTTTTAAATTTCTATTGGTCGAAATTGTAGAAGAAAAAGTAGGAAAAATCATGATTTTTAATTTTCTGTGCCTCTATCGAAAATTTAAAACATATTTTTTTTATTAAATCTAAATAAGTTATAAAAAAAATTTATAAATTTCCGTAAGAGTATACGTTTAAGTTTTTTCTCAAATAAAAAAAAAATATATATAATATTTTATTCCTTTTATCTTATTTATAATTTTAAATTAACAATTCAAAATCAAGAACATTCAAAACAAGTTACGATTGTTTGAAATAAATATATTACGATATATAATCGTTTTTGTAGAATAATAATAACAATTAAAAATATATAGCATTTAAAATCTAATATTGATATGGAAAAACTATATTTATTATTATAACTTCAGTAAAAGTTAAGAGAAAAATGGTTTATTTGCTTTGACCTTGATATATGTTGTCAAGGACACTCTCTTCAGTGCAACCCTTGCAAACTTATTTTTACTAAAAAGTTAGAACAATTAGTTTTTCAGATATTATTTAAAAAAATTTTTTTAAATTACAACAAAATAATCAAAATTACTTTAAATTAATCTGAAATTTTATAAAATTTTGAAAGATCAAAAAGTGATAATTAATGCCGGATAGCAAAAGTTCTTAACATAAATTGGAATAATTTTAATATAGTTTATAATAATTTTATAATAATCGAATATACTCGGGAATAAAATTATTTTTCCAAAATAAAAGAAAGCGCAAACAATCTCATTGTTTTCCTCTCTCGATCTTAATATTCTAGTTTCCTTGAATTTATTCCTTAAATTTTTCTTTTTATTTTCTTTATCTTCAATTATTAACACATGCGAATTCGAAGAAGAGAATTTCAGCTTTCTCGGATTTTTATTCTTGTTTCTGTTCACTTCCTCCTAGCATTCGGAAATAGGAACAACTTTATGATAAAGTTATAAATGTTTATGGCAGAACAGGTGAAAGGTTACATTTAATAACCTCTTTATTTTTTTTTCTTTAGAAAAATGTTCGACGTGTCTCCATCGTAGATGCCTTACCTATTGTTCCTTCTAACGAAATGAATTACTATATTAAAAAAATAAATAACGAAGAATTTCAATGGATTTTGTAAATATTAATAAAAACAACGCAAATAGGAATATATAAAAAAGTTGTACTCTACGATAATAAGGAATAATAATTACCAGAGATGTAGTTATACATTTTGGCGTTAAAAGAATAAGTAACGAAGAATTTCGATGCATTTTGTAAATATTAATAAAAACAACGCAAATAGGAATATACAAAAAATTTGTACTGTATAATAATAAGGAATAATAATAATAATTATCAGAGATGTAGTTATATAA